CACACACACACAGACACACACAGCCATAATGCAACATAATGTGACCATTGAAGGTAACGATCTTTATATTCAGTCCATGTTTTCATCATGCTGACAAATAAAGAACCAACTCTGCCTCCTCTTGTTTTCATTGCTCACAAATAAGCAGCATTACCACTGCGGTCCATTAGATGGTGCTAAAACTCCCACCTATCTATTCATTTACGTGTGTCACGTAACAGTCCCTCCTCACCAGTCCGTTCTGACGCATCTCACACATCCAACAGGTTGGTCATTTCCTCTCTAAACTTCGAAATTGTACAACCTTATTGATCTGTTCTGTGTGAACCCATTAATACTGTGGACATCGTGACAACACTATTATAGTTTTTGGTTGTTTTTTAAAATCCTCCTGCTGTTTCTGCTTCATGTTTGTTTCTGTCGCTCTCTCAGATATTAATCAATCTTGTTTGCAGCTATTCTGAGGTAAAAGTATTTTAGACAAACTGCAGCACTTACACACTACGATGGATCCAACCCAACTCAATGTACTATAGTAGTACTGCATGTGTGAATCTTTAACTACATTTATTTATGCTGTATTCTCATATTTTACTTGGCTATTAGAAGCACATTAAAGCTGAATATCATGTCATTGCACTTTGGCCTCCATGTGTAAAACCAACCTTTACTCCGGTCTGTTAATCAAGTGCAGTTCTATTATATCATACTAGATGCGTGGTTTACGGGGCAGAGGACTGCAGGGTACATTTTCTCAAGTCAACTCAGGAGCAAAGGTCTGTTTGTCCTGTGGCTAAAGATTTACACCCCCTGTCAGTGCAGGTTCCTGCGTGACTGTGCATAGATGCAACTCTTCAGAGTACAGCCCATTATCAGTAACACACTTGTCTTACTCAAGGCACATTTCAAGAAAAGCAGATACGGAATGTCATCTATTTCAGCAGAAATTGATAAATTATTACTTTTTAGTTGACATGAAAGACAATGGGATTTGTTTTTGGGGACGTAGTTGGATTTCTAGTGTCACTGAAGCTGGACAGATGCAGCTAAACTGAATGAGTCACAGAGTCAGTGTTCTTGGGTAAAGTTAATGCTCCTCAGTTGAGTATATGTGCCCAACAAGCAGCGCTCACAACACCACATTCTGCTGGAGATGACGTTACGCAGGTGACTTTCACAGTGATTATGCTAAATTTTCCAACTTCGCGCGAACATGAACCTGCTAAACTTCAGAAGTATTTGCTGAGAGGTTTCAGGAGATGAAAAGTAAACAAAATGTTTGTTAAATAAATGTGGAACCAGCTGATGCATCATCATGTCTACCATCTGGCATCAGGCACATCACCAAAGAGAAGCAGTTTGAGCCATCACATTAGGGAGGTTAGTTTGATAAATGTGTCCTTCAATAATTCAGTATGTCCCTAGAAGGATGTTATAAAAATTTAAATGGCCCCTAATAGGAAAACGGCTCCCCAGCCCTAACATCAAATGAAAATGCATCTAACCTAGAACACTCTCTAATGTGTCACTCTTTAAAAGCATTCGCTGTAGCATTTTTAACGTGAAATGTAAAAATGTCGTCACATCTTTTCTGCATTGTTTACTCTATAAAATACAAGTTTTCACCTCAGCAAACATAATCATAGATACCGATGCGTCCCTTAAAGCCTCATACCGGTCGATTTTTATCGCCCAACCGATAAATCGATAAATCTGATTCCATTCGTAAAATGTACAGCATCAAATCACAACATGCATTATCTCATTTACATAAGGTCGAGAGCTTACACAATCATAGAGAAGCCAAGAAGTTCCCACAACAAAGAGGACAGAGGGGATTAGACGTGTGAAGTCTGTCTGTGTCATTGTGGACATCCTCATGAACACACACATGCACACAATGACTGGACTTCTGTCTTTGTGCAGAGTAACTGATCAGTGATCAGTCTTCTCTTTGGAAACTTCAAAAAGACAAAGCAGAGTGGACTCACTATTTCTGACCGTCCGTCCCTGCAGGCGTTCTGGAAGCGAGCTTGTCTCTCCTCATGGGGCCTGTCTCTGAACCCCGTGTATTTAATCTACACGGAAAAGACACAAAGGAAAACACTTTTACACACAGTTGTATAGAGAGTTGAACAACGTGTGTTTGTGGACTGAGGCTGTGTGACAGTGAGTGGATGCTGTGATGTGTAATTTGAAAGATGAGCCACAAGAATTTTAATGTTTCAGGCCAAAGGCATCATCCTGCGTTTGTGCTTTTAGTGGAACCTCCTTAGAAAAATACACACAGCAGCAAAGTAGTGACAGAAAAACTCAATTGAAGAAGGTTGATAGAATTTTAAAAAAAAAGAAAAAAAAGAGTCAAACAAAGAATCAGGATGAAAGGTGCGTTTCTCATCAGGAGATTTCACCGGAAACAAACTTTTAGTTTGGATTATTGATTTTTAGGGTTTTATTTATCTGTTAGAATAAAAATGGACGAAGTGAATTATAAGCAGACTTCAGTCCGCATGTTTCTCTGCTTCTTCTCTCTTTATTTCCGCCGTGTGTGTGTGTGTGTGTGT